AAGGGTAAGAGTCTTCTAACTCTCAAACCTACCCTTAGTGACATTCTTCCTTTACAAGGCCACACCTCCTAAACCTCCCCAGATAGTGCCACTAACTGGGGACCAAGTATTCAAATGCCATAGCCTATGGGGACATCTCATTCAAATCATCACAAATGAACTATAAATCCTTGTTAAAATAACACTGATGTCAATAGAATTCTAGTCATGGAGAAAGCTAATGTTATATATACCTTACTCTAGAATAGAACCATACCACCAATAATTGGGTGTGTCCACTTCTATAAAATGTGTTTGTAGAGAAAGGCTTTCTAACTATGACTAAATAGTAGACACATTTGACTACTACTGCATGAAAATAAAAAATATTTATAGAGAGGGAAAAAGAAACAAAGACAAGTGGCCGAACAAAAATAGAGAAACTGTGATATAAGGTGAAAAAGACATGAATGTATGGGCAACTTGATTCATACATATGTGCATACAACCACATGCATATATATGTACATACATATATATTTATCAAATGGCTTTAAATATGAAAATATAACCAAGTCTACTTATACTTAGAATTAAGACAAATCAAAACTCCCTTATGATGGAGTTCTCATAGATCAGGCTGAGAAGAATTTAAAAACTTAACACGATGTCCACATAGTTTTTGCTCTGGGGAAACTCATTCTTGCATATTGCTAATGAGAAAGTAGATGGGTGCTGAGGAAACTTGTCAGGCTCTAACAATTGCCCCTCACACAGGGGATTTGTCAGTGTCTAACAACACCAAGCATGCCTTTTGTTCCAAGAATCTCACTTGTGGGAACTTGCCTTGGAGACACACCTCCAAGTCTGCAGAGATGAAATCCCAAAGATCTTCCCTGCAGTGCTCTGTGTGGCTGTAAGTATTGCAAACGTGCACAAAGGTAGGGCGGAGTTGACGGAAGCAGCAGTAAACCCACATGACAAAGCATTGTGCAGCAATAGCAATAAGGAAGTATTCTATAAACATATGGGAGAGCTTCCTGTGTATGTGATAAGCTAAAAAGAAAAAAGAAACCACAAAAGAATTAACTATAGCATGCTGCTTTTGCATGAGGAGAGTTTGTATAAGGAATATATGTTTATAGATATACATACTTGCACACAATAACAGTGTTTTTAAAAAAAAAAAAAAAAAGGCCATGAATTTGAAGGAGAGTGGGGATGAGAGAGGATTTGGAAGGAGGAAAGGGAAGGAAAATGTTGTAGTAAATTACAATCTCAAGTTTAAAAAGAGGGATTAAAAAGGTATGTTTGGGCTTTCGTTTACAGGCAAAACATTTCTCTTAACAGTAGGTAGGGACAGACCAGAAGGACAGCCCACAGAGATGGAGAGAAGGCTCTGCCTTTATCTGAACATATCGTTCTATGTGTTTTGATTTTTCAGTTGTTAATGTTTTTTTTAATTTAACAACATTTCTTTAAAAATAATATAACTCAAGGGAAACTGAGGGGACAGTCCTGACAGTGTAATAAGAACAGAAGCAAGCGGGTTGCTTTCACATGAAGAATTTGACCACACTAAAAAAGGGCCAGAGAAGGCTTACTCAAGAAAATTTTGAGTACAATAGTTTGACTAAAGGGGGGGGGGGAACCCTGAAAGTATGGAACTCTAAAAAGCAGGTGTGTAGTTGGCTGGAATGTTTGCTTGTGTTGTGTTTTGTCTGTTTTCATGTGCTTTGTGTGTGTCTATAATCCATTGCCCTGAGGAGAATGGGAGCGGGTTGCTCTCTGTCAGAAATGAGTTATTAATAAGAAAAGCTAGACAGGAAAGTGAGCACATGCTTCCGGGTTAGTGTGGTAGGAATCAGTACGAGTTTCTGGTTAGAGATGGGTAGCCATCAAATGTTTCCAGTAAAGAACCAGATAGTGAACACTTAACCCTGCTGTAGTAGACAAAAGTAGCCATAGACATTACTGGAATGCAAACATGTGACCGTAATCTGATGAAGCATCATTTGTGGACACCGAATTTTGAATTTCATATAATTTTCATATGTGAAACATTATATCCATTTAACCAGCGAAAATATAAATGGCTAAATAAGTTTGCATACAGACTATGAAATAGACTTGGCCCATGGGCCATAGTTCACAACTCCTGGTTGACTGACCAAATGATTAATAATAAATGTAATGAAATTTTTTTAAATCTTAGTAATTGATATACAAAAATTCTTTGTAATCCTTTTGTTATCTCTTTTTTAAATTTGAGATTACTTTTAACCACAAAATAATCATATATTGTCCACACCTGTGGGAAAGCAGTAACATCAAGTCATTTGCCCAACATTCAAACAAGGGCCACACTCATGCTGCCTGGATTTCCTAGACCAAGAATAGGTCACACACACTCACACACTCACTCACACACACACTCACACTCACTCACACACACTCACACACTCATACACTCATACACACACTCACACACACTCATACACACACTCATACACACGCTCACACTCATACACACACTCACTCACACACACTCACACATTCACACACACTCACTCATACACTCATACACACGCTCACACTCATACACACACACACTCATACACACTCACACACACTCATACACACACTCACTCATACACTCATACACACGCTCACACTCATACACACACTCACTCACACACACACTCACATACACACTCACATACTCACACAAATTCATACACACACTCACCACACACACACTCACATACTCACACACTCACACATACACACTCACACACACTCACACACACTCATACACACACACTCACACACACTCACATACTCACACACACCACACACTCACACACACACATATACTCACACACAACTCACACTCACATATACAACACACACTCACACACATACACATTCACACACACCCACACATACACACACACCTCACACACACACATACACACACACAACTCACACACACATATACAACACACACTCACACACACAATTCACACACACTCTCACACACATACTCACACACTTACACACACTCACACACACTCACACACACACACCCTGTGAAGAGTCGTCCCTGGTTAGAAATGGGAAGAGGTTTTTCAGATAATACCATTCTTTTCTCCTGCTCACCTGTTTTTCAACACTTTCATTAAGAAATGAGGTCCCTGGGCTGGTACTTTGTATATGACCTCATGATTTTCTATAGTACAGGAATTTTTTGGTCTGCTATAATTAAATGGACTTAATAAAAGCTACTTATCAGAAAATGTCCTGTTAGTTTGAATGTCTGTGACAAATCCTTTCTGATGCCCTTAATGTGTTAGTATGAAATTCAATTACACAGCATGCTCACCTCGCTCATTTCAGCAACCAAAGTCTAGGGATAACTGTAAGTCATGATTGAAAGTCTCTTAAGAAATTCCAAGTAGGAACTGAGTAATTTTTACATTAAAATGCCTGTATACTGGGAGAATAAGTGGCTTGCAGAAGAGAAGCCTCCACTATGTTATCCAATGAGCATTCAGCATCCCTTACTGGTTTAATTCCAGCAAGACCATGTCCCCACCTTGGTTTGTCACAGTAGGTCAGGCCACAGCATGGGCTCCCTTGATCAGAGTATCACAACTGAGATTTACTGAGTAATAACTCTGTACCAGATCCATGCCAAATGGACTTAGTCTACATCTGTAAGCAAAACGCAGAAACATTACCATCTTTCTCCTTCCTACAGGTCAAGCTGAGCAGCATTCAGTGATTTGGCCTTTCTTACTGTAAGAAAAATGGATCTGGCACTGTCCTGAGAACTGATGCTGTTGAGCTCCTGATTAGAACTGCTTCCCATTGTAGATTAAAGAAAGTACAAAATACAGAAATTTAGAAAGAAAACATTGTCATAGAACATCTCCTGTTTAGAAGAAAGGGGTAAACAATATAGGCTGCTAATATCCATGCAATAAATAGCATTGACATTGGAAGATCCTGTCTGTATCCCAGCCTGCCCACTTCCACTTAAGCCGCTCAGGAGCAGGGTTAGGGATAAGAAGCATTTGACTCATGCCTTCTAAACAGCACCACTTGAATTGTACTTGCCCAGGTATCTGTTGGGGTGGGGAGGTGGGGGGAGTGGCAACAGGATGGGACACTATGAGAGAGAAGGCTGAGGAAAGGAAATAAAGGTAGTTCCACATCAGATCCAAGGCTAACTTCTGCTCAACTCATGTGAAGAACACTGTCATCCACAGCACATCACACATGATTGTGTCAAACTTTCTCAGCCAAGATCAGAAAGAGCATCATCTCTGCTATATCTCTTCTGGTTTGCTGAAAAGTTTCCTTATGGGGAAAAAGTGTATTGGAGGATGGTGAAGTGCTTTAGTGGGTAAAGGTGCTTGCCATCAAGCCTGAGGATGTGAGGTTGATCCCAGGACCCACAGCAGGGAAGAAGAGAACTCAGGTTGTCCTCTGAGCTCCACATGCTCATCATACCCCCACAAATAATCTTTATAGTATAAATACTACATTTTCTACCCTATAGTGTAACTCATTTCCCTCTTCCCTACCTACCTCCAAACCCTCCCATATACCTCTCCTGGCTCTTTTTCAAATGCATGGCCTCTTTTTGCATTAATTGCTGTTACATACATACATATATACATACATACATACATATTCTTAAATATGACCTATTTAGTATGTATAATGTTATGTGTGTTTTCAGGGCTGACCATTTGGTATTGGATACCCAACTGATATGAGGCGAAATGGTTACCATTTAGCTTGTGGATTTACTCTAGCAACTCATTGGTTAAATGATCAGTTTCTTATTAACCTCGTCACAGAACTATTAATTTCTCAACTTTTCCTTAATGAAACATGAAAGAAGACAAGTGTTTCTTTGTAAAGCCCAGAGACGTGAAAACCAACGGGAAACTTGGAGTGCATATGTGGGGCTACAGTTGCATTGCTCACCTGCCTCCTTTTCCCCTTAGAGACTGGTTGACCATGCTGAGCCCACCAATTGTCCCTCCCAGCCAGCAGCCAGTAGAGCAGCCTCTAGAGTCCTCTGCGAGTGCGAGCGTGCAAGGTAAGCGTGCCAGACATGCTATGCATAAAAATACAAAGGTAATTTGCTACAGATAGAGAATAATCAGCCACCCTGAGACACTGCTGCTTTCATAGTGACCATATAGACTTGCACATCAAAACTGAGGTCGCCCGTTCCTCATCTTTTATGCAGTCTGTTTCTAAGTAGGTTGCAGAGAGGAATAGCCCTGTTCAGAAGGTTCACCCAAGGGCAATGTACATTGAAAGCATCAGGTGTACATTGATGCCTACATCAGCCCCATCTGATTTCCAGCTATAGCACTTCCCACATGTGGCCACCGTGAATTGTAGTTGCCTGCTCCACAGTGCCTGCCCGGCCCCACGTGCTACTTTCTTGTAAGGTTCAATATTTGAAGCACTTAGAACAGTGACTGCCAATCACCAGCAGCTGGTATCATAGTAGTGCAGTCCATGCTTCTCAGGATGCTAGGGTACAGCCGTGCGTTGTGTGATGGCATTTTAGTCAGGAGTGGCCCTCACACATATGACACTGGTCTGAAAAAGTTACAATGGAACTTGGAAATTCCTACTTCCTGATGTCCTGTCATCACCTCACATCATCACCATACATCGTAACAAGACATCACCTACGATTTATGATTTATGAGTTGCTAATATAAAGAACCCACAAGACCACACGTGGTTAAAAGTAGGGCACATGTAATCACTCACAGTATACAATGCAGGACACTGGCTTGTGTATTTGCTGTACTATACTTTTAATCATTGGTTTAGCGTATTCTCCAGTCCACTAAAGTGTGTTTACTGTAAAATAGCATGCCATGCTATACCAGTAGCTTCATATAGCTTCTGTTAACAGTTTCTTGATCCCACCAGGAGACACATCAGGTGACAGAGTCGAGCCATCTTAGCTTGCATAAATGAACACACTCTGTGACATTCACACAGCAGAGTCACTGCATTTTTCTGTATCACTGCATGACCCCATTGTAAAGTAACTTTGCCTGTATGTGTTTGCCTTAAATTGGAGATGCAGCCTTTCACTAAAGTGAGACCAAGACATACCTATGAACAGTGTGCTCACTGTAGGAAACTGGAAAGTCCCCTCTGTGATGGGGAAGTCATGAAGATGAACCACTGGGCTTTAGTTAGGAGGAGGGAGCCTGGGTGTCAGGAAGGGATAGAAAAGGGACACTGGAGACTCTCCAGACTGGAGAAGAAAGTCATTTGTCAAGGTGTCTGCTTAGCATGCATCAAACCTAGCATGGGGACACGCACCTACGTGTCTCGTGAAGCACAGACAGGGTCAGGAGGTCACAATTATCCTCAGCTGGTTTCAGGCTAGCCTGTACTACATAAGACTCTGCCTCAAAACGTGGAAACAAAAAGACTCTCCAGTGAAAACAGTGAATAGTGTGGCTGGGGTGGAAGGGAACACTAGTTCACTCAAGTGCAGAGTTGGAGTGACAGATGACCTCCAAGAAGACTCTCTGGGACAGTTTTCTGAGTTGAATTTTGAAGATGGAAGAACACTGCATCTAACGTTTTTTTAGGTGAAACTAATATAAATTGCTCCAACAAAAGTGCCATCCCCCCTCTCCCAGCTGCCCCGGGGAGGAAGTAGCGCATCCGTTTTTCCTCAGGTGTGGAAAATTCAGTGTGAGAGCTCATATATCTAACTTGTACTTTCCAGCTGCCCAAGGGATGGAGATGTCTCTGTGATTTACTGTCTGAAATAGATTATGCCCCTCAAATTGGGAAACTTTTTAGAGGTGTATATTTATAATTACTTATGACAGAAAAATAGAATCTTGGCTGTCAGAAGGAGACCTTGCTGTGAGGGAACAAATAATATGTTATGTTAAGTGTCCAGAATAAACCACAGGGACTAGAAGCATGGTCCTTGAGCAAAGGCACTGGCATATATGTGTGTGTGTGTGTGTGTGTGTGTGTGTGTGTGTGTGTGTGTGTGTGTGATATGAGTGGCTGGAACCGTGTCTTCAGGTCACCACGACACAGCTCAGTTCTGGCAGTGGCAGCTACGTAATGCTGAAGGTAAACAGAACTTTCACTGAGGACAATTTCACAAATTCAGGGAGCGGTAGCAACATGCTGGCCAGAGTTAACCAGATCAAGGGCAAGCACTCCTGCCTGCCACCCTCTGTCTCCATCATCACTGCCCTTCTCATGGGAGCTATTGTCTCCTATTTGTTCACCGTCTCCTTTCTGATATGCTTGAGTGGTTTGTAGTTAATCAGCACCATCAAAACCACTGTTTCATGTTTGTTTAATATCCCAAGGTAATGACGAGATTTTAGGCAGCCTGGCACAACCTGTACTTAACTGGTACACTGAGATAGGGTTTCCATCCAATCCTATAAAATATTTGTCAAAGAAAAATAATGTTCAGGTTTCCAGTTCATATCATCAGAAGAGGAAGGAGGCATGGTTGCAGTCATGTGGAATTCATCCTGGGTTTCTGTTGCCATTCCTATGCTGAGTCATTGTATTTAGCATTTAGCCCTCATACCGCCATCATGGAGAAGAAATCAAGAAAAACATTTTTTTGCTATTGAGAGTTCCTGCTCTATCAGGAAAAGAAAGGAAGGAAAGGAAAGAAGAAGGAAGGAAAAAAGGAAGGAAGGAAGGGAGGAAGGAAGGAAGGAAGGAAGGAAGGAAGGAAGGAAGGAAGGAAGGAGAAAGATCGATAGATCTCCAGGGCTAAATCACTATGTGCTTAATGACATACAGAGAGAACAAGGCGAATGAGTCTTCTGGCTACTGTGTCAGCCTTGGACCTGCCCACTCTCCCACCCCTTGTTCAAAATGGCTAACCACAGTTGATGAGACCTAGGGCAAGGCTGGATGGACCCCAAGGACCAAACCTCTACAGCCAGGCCTCTGCATGTGACCTGCCACCTGCCACTTTATGGCCAGAATCCTATGGAGATGGTCAGTGCCCCGTTCACTGTGCTTGTCCTCTCTCTCTCTCTCTCTCTCTCTCTCTCTCTCTCTCTCTCTCTCTCTCTCCATCTCTTGCCCTGTTTCCTTCTCTCTCTCTCTCCCTCTTCCCTCTCCCTGTCTCATCCTCTTTCCTTCTCTCTCTCTCACTCTCTTTCCTCCCTGTCTCTCCCCTCCCCCTCCCTCTCCTCTATCAATTCTTCATCTGTTTATTTATCTCTTCTTCTTCTTCCCAAGTAGCCTTAGTGTGTATGAGCAGAGACTGCCAGTTTGCTGACTTGAGGACCCAGGTTCCTGGGAAGTTTCTGTCATGTATTGGGTTCTCCAAATTCTCAGTAGAGCAGTTCACAGAAATGTAACCCTGGATTTCCTTCCTCGTCTCCAGGTTTTATACATTTGGAAGATTTCTGAAAGTTAAACACGAAGCAGTGGCCTTTACTATTCATTTGTAGGCAATGAGAACTCACTTCAAAAGATAATCTTATAGGGAACCTCATATAGAAAAGAGATCAGGGGAGAATGGGTGTCTCGAAGTCCTACCCTGCTCTGACAAATCAATAAACTGGTTCGGTTTAGCCCATTGTTTGCCTCACTAGGTAACTGACTGACCAAACATCAAATTTCCAGTCACAGCCCTTGCTAGAACGGGGCTTTCTCCAACTCAGCATCTTTCTGATAAACCACTGTATGCTCTATAACTGTGTGTTTTGGTTTTGGTTTTTTGGTTTTTTGTTTTTTTGGGTTTTTTTTGTTTGTTTGTTTGTTTGTTTTGTTCTTTGGGGGTTTTTTTGTTTTGTTTTGTTTTGTTTTGTTTTTTAATTGGAACCAGGGAGAAAAGAAAGGTATCATACTTCTTGACACTTCTGGGACAAAAATAACACCTAATGAGTGATTTATCTTTTCTTTTCTTTTCTTCTTGATTGTTTTTTATTTAAATTTGAAACAAGGCTGTTTTACATGTCAATCACAGTTCCCTACTCATCCTCCCCTACCACCCCCACCAAACCTGCTCCCCAGGAAGGGTGAGGCCTTCCATGGGGAGTCTTCAAAGTCTGTCATATCATTTGGAGCAGGGCCTAGGCCCTCCCTCATGTGCCCAGGCTGAGAAAGTATCCTTCTATGTGGGATTGGCTCCCAAAGTCCATTACGATATGATACCAGGGATAAATACTGATCCACTACCTGAGGCCCCATGGCTGCCCAGTCCTCCTAACTAACACCACATTCAGGGGTCTGAGTTGGTCCTATGCTGGTTCCCAGCTATCAGGCTGGGGTACATGAGCTGCCCCTTGTTCAGGTCAGCTGATTCTGTGGGTTTCTCCAGCTTGGTCTTGACCCCTTTGCTCATCACTACTTCCTCCCTGTAACTAGATTCCAGGAGTTTGGCTCAATGCTTAGCTTTAGGTGTCTGCTTCTGCTTCCATCAGCTACTGGATGGCATATAAGGTAGTCATCAATCTCATTATCAGAGAAGGGCATTTAAAGTAGCCTCTCCACCATTGGGTTCATCTTTGTAGATCTCTGGACATTTCCCTGGTGCCAGATTTCTCCTTAAATCTATAATGGCTTCCTCTATTATGGTATCTCTTTTCTTGTTCTCCTCTATGCTTTCCCTGTCTCAATCTTCCTGTTCCCTCATGCCCACCTCTCCCCTCCTCTACTCCCCTTCTCTTTCTCCTAACTCCCTCTCCCTCCCTCCATGCTCCCAATTTGCTCAGAAGATCTTGTCCCTTTTCTCTTCTCCAGGGGACCATGTATGTCTCTCTTAGAGTCATCCTTGTTTCCTAGCTTTTCTAGTGGTTTGGATTGTAGGCTGGTGATCCTTTGCTCTATGTCTAGAATCCATATATGAGTAAATACATACTGTGCTTGTCTTTTTGTGACTGAGTTACCTCACTCGGGATGGTTTCTTCTAGTTCCAGCCATTTCCCTCCAAATTTCAGGATTACGTTGTGGTTTTCTGCTGAGTAGTACTCCATTGTGTAAATATACTGCATTTTCTCTATCCATTCTTCTGTTGAGGGGCATCTAGGTTGCTTCCAGGTTCTGGCTATTATA